GATCGAAAGTAGGAAATGCCGTACTTCGGTATTCGTTCTTTGATATATATTTATAAGCTTGAACCATAAAAGGTAACCTAATAAGAAATCCATTGGTTAAAAATTTGAAATAGAAATATATTATTTATAAATTTCAAACAAACATACGATGAATCCAATAGAGTTCATTAAACATCTGATTAAATAATAATCGAATAATCTAATTTCAAATATTTTACTCGAGAATCTAATTTTATTGACTAATTCTCTGTATATGTGTGTACATCAATATCAACTTATTACATATACGTATTATATCCAATAAAAAAAAAAGTAATCAAAAAAAAAAAACCAAAAAAAAAAGGAAAGCAATCTTCTAAAAATATCAATTCAGCAATACTCCATGAATGACAATAATGACGACAATGATGTCTACGAAACTTTTCGATCCATCGATCGAACTTTCGAGCTTTGTGATACCTCTCTCCCTGTACCTAGATAGTCAAGTTATTTAATGGAAACCTATTATCGTGCCATTGGAAATTCATTGTTGTTGGAGCTTCGTGAATTACATTTTGTCAATAATCATGTGCTGGATGTTTGCTTTCATCATGAACAAGCTAGACATTCGATTCAACGTTTCCTATTGCTTATGACTGACTTGCATCTATTACATATTACATATGTGCATATATATATATATATTATGTTGCTCGTCAATGTCATACATGTCCAAGAAAAAGAGAGAAAGAGAGAGAGAGAGAGAGAGAGAGAGAGAGAGAAACAGGAAGAGAAATGAAGAGAGAGAGAGAGAGAGAGAAACAGGAAGAGAAATGAATTGAAAGAGAGGGAGAGACAGAGAGAGATGAAGAACTTTCTATTATTAGCCAGACGAGGATCTAGAAATCCATGATTGAAAATCTGATCCTCCTGAGCCCTCCTCTCCCGAAATAGGAATGTACATACGTAGGTACGTACCTACGAGAGAGATACTGGCTGGAACTTTGCCTCGATCGGAAAATTTATTACTGCGATCGAATGCAATCAAGATCGGTTGGCGCATAAAGTGCAGACACCAAGCGACGAATTAAGGACAAAGTTAGGTCTGCTTATTCTTTCTTCGTACTAACCTCTTTCACGTAGGACAAGACATATATATATATATATATATATATATATATTATGGGGTGAGTCCAAAAAGAATATAAGAAAATTTACAGAGACGTAATAATAAAGTGAATTGGTATTTTCTCAAATACCGAATAAGAGAGTTAGACGAGGGCCAACTTTTAAATTGGCACAGAAATTGGAATAAATGTGAAAAGTAGTTATCGACGAGTTTAAGCGATCTTCCAGATCCCATATAAATAGGTATTTGCAAATTCTCAAGAGAATTTAAATACCGAAATTTTATATTCACATTTACAAATCCATGATTAATTATTCCAATAAAAATTTTTCGATATCCTTCTGAATATATTCTCTAAATACGATTACAACTACTCATTATGCAATCTCTCTCTCTCCCTCTCTCTCTCTCTCTCTCTCTCTCTCTTTCTTTCTTCCTCCTTCTCTTTCTCTTTCTTTCATTCTTCACGATGTTCGATCGACGTCAGTATTGTTTAATGGTTTTATATTCGCCTCCCGTTGGCAATAACGACGCCTGATAATATCCCAACGCTTCGTTATAAAACTGATTACATAATAAATACGTCGTATATTATACCTATGCGGTTACACAATCTTCGACGTTCAGCTTGAAGTTCAGTATGGTAAAACTAATTTGCGGGTCACCGGATCGTTATTATTTATCCGCATGAGTTTCCCCTTGTTTATCGTCAAACGCACTGTTAACACGGCCAATTATTTAGTTTAGTGTGTACAAGTCCTCGTGCGAGCTAAGTCGACGAGTTTGAAATAAGGGAGAGAAGAAAAAGTGAAAGAGAGAGAGAGAGAGAGAGAGAGAGAGAGAGAGAAAAAAGGAGGTAATATAGAAGGGACAAGAGAAAAAAAGAGAGAGAGAGAGAAAGAAAGAGAGAGAAAGAAAAAAGTATAGGTAGTATAGAAGGGGCAAGAGAAAGAGAGGGAGAGAGAGAGAGAATGTTACGTGACTCCCCGTCGTTACGTAAAGGAAATAAGGTTATGGATTGTGGCAGGAGAGATGGAAAAGAGCATGGTATGGTGTGTGCGTCATGTCGGATCCATTCATCGGCTTCGGTAAAGATGGGGCGAATCGGGTCGTGGGCTTAGTTATGTAGGTCAGCTTTTCCTGCCTTCCCTGACCTCGATGGGATCTCTCTCTCTCTCTCTCTCTCACACACTCTTTGACTTGTTCACTCGCTCTCTGGTTAACTTTGGTAGACTCTTCCCATGAACGTAATAGTAAGCTTCAATGAAACGCTTGGAACGTCCCTGATACAACGAATCGTTAATCGTCAGCCTTACTCGATATCGAATTCAAACTCGTAATCAATGTTTCTTTTTCTCTTTTTCTCTCCCTCTCTCTCTTTCTCTCCTTCTCTTTCTCTCTATCTTTCTCTATCTTTTTTTGGAATCGAGTATCATTGAAATTAAATGTTTTAAAAAACATTTAATTCGCCTTCGAAGAAATTGTTTCCTTTTTTCTTTTTTTTGTTTTTTGTCAGTGGCAACGCGCAAATAGAGAACAATTAATTATAATTTTATATATATATATATATATATATATATATATATACCAGATAGAGATAAATTCTATAATATGAATTATAGAATTGAAATATTTCCGAGGGAGTAATGTAAGAAGAAATTGTATTTAACTTCGACGTACGAAACTCGGAAATTCGAACGAGTCCCAATGGGATGCGACTTCTAGATATAATAATATAAATCATCTACCTAGTCTATATGTATATATAAAATACATATACATACAAATACTCACGCACGCGCACACACACACACATATATATATATATATATATGTATATATATATATATATCGCGAATGGAGAAAACGAACGAATCGGTTTCTGTAACGAGAACGTCCTTGTTTTTTCTTCCTTCCGCTGTCTGCTTCTGCCAACGGCGTAAAACCGAATGAAAATGATAACGTATCCGATCGAATGACCGAACGCGATCTCATTTCCACTGTATTTTCTCATGATTCTCTTTTGACACGTCCAACAACACCGGAAACGTGACGAACAATGAGAAGAATTGCTAATTGTATTTTCCAATTTTTTTTCTTTTTTTTTTTCTTTTTTTTTCTTTCTCTTTTTTTTTCTTTTTTTTTTTTTTTTTTTGCAGACAATGAGGAGAATTGCTAATTGTATTTTTTGTTCCTTTTTTTTTCTCTCTCTTTTCCTTTTGTAGACAACGAGAAGAATTGCTAATTGTATTTTTCTTTTTCTTTTTTTGTTTTTTTTTTTTCTATATTTTTTTTCTTTTTCTTTTTTTTCAACTCGAACTTATCCATTTTACGAATTTCAATTTAATATATACGATTGAACGTTAATAAATATTCAACGATGATACATAAATATATAAAAATTAATTGATTAATTTCACTCGAGGAAAAAAATGTCATTGCTCAGAAAGAAATTCTGTCTTTTTTTTTTCTTTTTTGATTGCACTCAGCTCGATCATTATCGTCTATGACGATAATTAAATCATGAAAGAAACTATAAATTTATTCGGAATCCTACGATTATGCTGAGAAGATCAAAAACGTGACAGGATTGTCCATTAAAACATTTTATTTCTTAACCCATTGACCTAAGTTGTTTGTTTTCCATTACCTTTTTACGTTATTAATCTAGTTCCTAATTGACTCGTTGTATGTTTAAAAAAAAAAAAAAAAAAAAAAAAAAAAACAAGAAAAGAAAAAGAAAATTGTTAAAGGAAGAAACCGTGAACGTTGGTTACGATCTCACAATCGTGACGATATTGTTCACTGACACATTTTTCTTTTTTACTTTTCCTTTTCTTTTCTTTTCTTTTTTCTTTTTCGTTATATCTCTTTTCTTTATATATTCTTAACGAGCACCAGAAACTTCTCTTTCTCTTTCTCTTTCTCTTTCGTTTTATCTAAATATAACGAGACCGTTGTTGGAACATAACGAACCTTTTTCCCGTTCATTGTCTAAGAATAACTGAGCGATCGTTTACGAGGATCTACGAATATCAGTTGAAATGTATATACGAACGTACGTACGTACGTACGTACGTACCTATATATATATATATATATATATATATTTATACATATGTATGTATATATATATATATATATATTTACTATGTACATATGTATTAAATACCTAAATTATATCAGAATCGAGGTCGTTAACATAGCTGATTCATTTCTGATTTATCGTATCGCCAAACAGGCCTTCTCTCTTCCTGACTTTACTCGGCTCCAACTCGGCACCTGTTGAACCGATGCTCCGAACCATTAACTGAGAAATTAATTTTTAAGTTTGCCTACGGTCTCATCGATCCCAACGATAGGAGGAACGTATAAAAATCCTTCCTAGTAATAAAACCTGATAAGGAGAATATAATGAGAGGAGATCGTTTTGAACGTTATTACATTATATTAACCCTCTTTGTTCAGCAAACCTTTTTCGGGTCATCGACGACTAAGATATATATATATATATATATATATATATATATATATATATCTTCAACGTAATTTATTATCTATCGAACAGTTTCAGATATTGGAACTGAAAAAAGAAAGCTCATGTTTACGAAGATTTTTACGTTTTAAATTGATTTAAATAAATTAATTTAAATGTATGCAGATAGAAAGAGCGAGAGAGAGAGAGAGAGAGAGAGAGAGAGAGAGAGGGATAATAAAATTCAAAAAGATTTCTCAGAGGAGAAAAATAAAATTGAAACTTCCTTCCTCTGATCGATAAGAAAACAGTTTGACAAACAAGCATTCGAAAAAGTTTTCTCATGTGAATAATCGTGAAACTAGAAAAGTCCAAAGTTGACTAATGTTTTTTTCCATGTTCATTCGTGTGTTCCAGGGAGCTTTCGAGCTTTCAACCTTATGTCTGGCGCTAGCGTCTAGCTCGATACTTGGTATCACCATCGGATGGCGCCAGTCGTCCTCGTTCTTGCTACTCTTATCGACTTTACTGCACCAAATGACCCTGCGACTGGTCACACACAAATGTAAGCACGTAAAGAGAAAGAGAGAAAGAAAGAGAGAGAGAGAGAGAGATAAAAACTGTTGGATATATAGGAAGACCCGAAAATACAGATACAAGAAGTTCATGCCAAGCAGGTCGAGTAGTCATTGAGGTCGAATTTCGCAAAAGTCGAAAACACTTTGGAGAGAAATGGAGAAGGATAAAGACGAATGTTTAAAAGGAATGGAAAGGTAAAAGAAAGGATCAAAGCTTTTTTTGTGAGTTCTGTCCGATTGAATTTAGAAAAAGACGAGAAGAAAAATATGAGTTCGTCAGCCTTAAACTTGAAGTCTTTTCGAAGGAGTATTGTGACTGAAGGGTGACGAAAATAGCAAAGACTTCAAAAAAAGAAATAGAAATACAAAGAGAGAAAGAGAGAGAGAGAGAGAAAGAGAGAGAGAGAAAGTGAAAAAGAAGAGAAGAAAAAGAAGAAACGAAAGAGAAGAAAGAAAACTGTGTGTGAGAGAGAAAGAGAGAAAGAAGAGATAGAGAGAAAGAGAAAGACTTTGACTACCCTACGTGACTACTTGACTCAGCAGTCTCTTTCTGTAGGAAGAACTCATCTTTCTCTGTGTTTACTTCTCTCAAAAACTCCGACCCCCTCGGATCCTTTCGTTCTAGTTTCTTCCTTCTTAAAGATAGCAATTAAAACTTGCAGACACGGAAGACGATGACAACGACAACGACAACAACGATGACGACGATGACTACGACGACGACGACGACGACTGAGGAATGAAGCGGACGATCTTGAATAACCGCGATGTATGTATGAAAAAAAAAAGAGAGAGAGAGAGAGAGAGAGAGAGAGAGAGAGAGACAAATAGAATGAAAGAAAGAAAGAAAAATTTGTGATTACTTTTTATCAAAAAGATTTTTGAAAAGTATTCTCGACAAAGAATTCACGATTTCAAAGTATAATAATAATCGCGCTTGCAGTTGGTTATCGAAACGAAAATAGAAACAAAGATGACTCTTCGAGTGTCTATGAATAAATAAACGGTACAGGAAAACGTGTGGGATCAACAAAAAGCTTTCTACGAGCTTCTAATTTTACGAATATATCGAGATCAACGTTGTTCTCCCACTTCTTGCATTCCCCACTCTAAAGTCCTCTTCTATCTATCTATCAATTTCTCTCTCTCTCTCTCTCTCTCTCTTTCTGCAAATATACTTCCAACGGCATTTCCATCCACGACTCGTCGATGAAGATTCGGAATCGATCGACCGGCTAATAATCGTTGAACATTTCCCGCGAAACTCGTCAGCATACTTGCATAGCTCATCCAAAACCTTCTCTTCGAGAGAGAGAGAGAGAGAGAGAGAGAGAGAGAGAGAGAGAGAGAGAGAGAGAGAGAGAGAGAGAGAGAGAGAGAGAGAGAGAATAGAGAAAATTGGGACGAAATATTTCATCTTCTCTTTGTTTAACTGCATGAGAAAATTCTGAATGGCAGAAACGTGATGTTTATATACACGAGCGAGGGATTCAGTGTAATAATTCGTACACTCGAGAAATTTCAAGAACGAATATTTTCCATGGTAATGGCCTATGCCACTAACTTTAATTAACGACCATCGAAAAAGATTTTTATACTATATACCGATTAATTTTAACTCGTTTCTATAAAACAAATTCGAAAGGGAAACAAGATTTATCATCAAGTACGATCTTCTTTTTGAAATATTTTTACATATCGATGAAATAATGAAAATACAAAAAGTATTGTCAATTAAATAATAATTATTGATTCGATGAAATATGTATTAATATTACGTTGATAATCTTTGACCATTGAAAAATATTATTCCATTATTAAATGATATAATTATATCATTATATACGTATTTATATATATTCGAGCGATTAAAAATATAAAATTTCGTTTTATCGTATCAGCGAATTAAAAGAATTTTTTTCCTGATCACCTTTGCGATCGAACGAATCACAAAGAGGCCCGTATAACAACGTCGAATAAAAAAGTCCGAGAAGATCGATAAACTGGTAAAGCTCGTTCGATGTGAAACACAAGGAACAAGTTTACTGGAAACGAAGAGAATACCAGCCAGCGGTTCTTTGTTCTTATTTTTACAATGGTAGGCAACTGCATGACGACGCACTCGAGGGTTAACGACGTACGCATTCATACATGACGCGTATTCATCGTTAAGCGTCAGGAAAGCTCCGTTGAGAGAAAGAACACGAAATAAAGAGAGAGAAAGAGAAAGAGAGAGAGAGAGAGAGAGAGAGAGAGAGAAACTGACACGCACGCATGAACGTGGAAAATGTGTCGCGAATTGTAACTCGAGCGCGGATCGATGAATATATTTCGAGAGTAACTCGCTCAGGGGCAGAGGAGGGTGAAAAGGTGGAGAAGGTAGTATATGAATTGCACGAGCGTTCGTAGAGCGCTGCCTGCGGTCTTATGCCAATTCCACATTCAACAACGACATTACAACCAGCAATTCTACTACGTGTTCCTTTTCCCTTTGCTTTTGTTTTCTCTTCAAAGAGACATCGTACATCGTACGATAGACACTACCATTAGAATAATAATAATATAATGATAATAATATAACATAAAAGTATATACTTAACATAAAATATATTTAATATAACCAATGATCCTAATCCTTCTATTTAATAAAATTATTATATAATTTATGATAGAAAGAATATACGAAGAAAACAAAATTAAATAAAATACTGATGAAATTTCCTATTTATTAATGATTATCAATTTTGTTCATTCAATATGTATATTTACTATAAATACGATATTATTAATGTTACGAAGGAAAACATAATGAATATTGGATCAACAAATTTATAACGATCTAATTAAATTCTCCACTTGTTGTATATTATCGGACTTATTTATTCGGTATTAATATTTAGAAATAATTTTATTGATAATAAAACGATAGAAAGAGAGAGAGAGAGAGAGAGAAAGATTATTTTACGTATCAAATGAAAAATTTTATTACGTTTCAATATGATAATATAACTATGTCCAGAAAAGAAGTTTGTAAAAATGTAAAAAATTTCCTTTACGATTTGCTATTATTGTACGCTACTGTAGAAAGAGAATGCGCCAGACCGCAGAACGCAAGCGCGCGTGCCGAAAGAATGTGCAATGTGCATGCAGCTCTTGGTATTCGCAAGCTACGATGCATCGACCCAATAGTTGCACGTGTTTCTACATAACCCTGGAAAAACTATCCAATTGTTCGTTGTTGTTGCAATGCACTAAACTATTCAACGTTTACGATCTTCCTTCTCTTTCTAAGAACTTTTAAGTAACACATAAAAATCGATGAAACTTTCGTTGAAATTTTCTTCTTTTCTCTTTCTTTTTTTTTTGTTCTTCTTTACGTGGTACGCTTTCGCGAGTTGAGTTGAAAAAGTCAAGTAGGTACAGGTCAGTGATAGTCAGACTGTAGTCCTTTTGATACACGCGACCGAGTTAAGTAGTTACGGTCAATGACAGGTGGCCGTGTCGTTATTAAGTAGATACGGTGGGCCATGGTCAAACCGATCTCATTGAGGATTTTACTTTCGAAATACTTTCTTTTTCTTTTTATACCTACAAATCTCGTTCTAAAAAAAAAAAAGAAAAAATCACAGGATATAAGAAGATTATACTGTCTCAAATAAGTATAAGTCTTATTGATAATTTTATATTAAATAATAATATAAATAATTTTATATTAAACGAAGACGAATATTCCGAAATCGAATGTCCGTCGACGAGCTCATAAATCTTTGTTATAGAAAATATCAGAATGTAATAAAGTTATGAATAAATTTAACGTAGTACGACGATGGATTACATTGTTGCTTGTTTATTTTAAAAATGATAAACGTATAAGATATTGTTTATTTTTTTGGTATAAAAAAAAAAAAAAAAAAAAAAAAAAACCAAAAACAAAGAACAATATATTTAATGATAACGAAATAAAATCTCGTGTATAAATGATGAATAAATAGAATAAGTAGCCCAGTTATAGCGACCTCGGTATAGCGAAACGCAAATAAAGGGTAGATTTAGATCGATGTTCTATATATTCACAGATAAACCAGGCACCGCTACTCTAGCCTCCTCTATCGGATAGTTACGTTATCAGGTGAGAGCCATCGACTAAGGTGAACTTTCAACGAGGAAAAGTAGTCACCCTTCTCCCCTACAAGGAGTTCCTTTTCGAACCGTTAATGATAAGGTGGTTACGGTTAATTGGTACTTTTGAATCTCTTCAAAGTGTTAATTGCCAATTTGTCCGGCCGTAAGGGTTTCGCACTTACTTCGCTTCTCCTCGATATCTTCAAATTATGCGGCGGAACGTTGCGCAAGGGGTAGTTTCGTCTATGTAGTGGTCACAAGTAGGACAGTCACGACGATCTATCGAGAAGACAAAATCGAAGCTCTCGGTGAAAGAGATTTCATTGATGTCAAAATTTTATCTTAAAAAAAAAAATATATATATATATATATTATATATATATATGTGTGTATAAATAACGTAAGGAGGATCATTCTAGTAGGATAAAATTCTCGATAAAAAAAAAAAAAGAAAAAAAGAGAAAAATTAAAAAAATAAAAGGAAATAGAGAAAAAGAAGAAACAACAGATAAAACGTCTTTCATAGAACTTAGATCATGGTATATACCAAATGTAAGAAGAAAACTACTAGTATATCCAACGATAACACTGTGGGATATTGGTGGATCCCTGTTTCCACAATGGTTGATACTACTGCCTCCACTTTCAAGTTTCATACCTCGTACAGATACTCGAACGGTCGGTAACGAAGCATCCGTGGTACATTGCTAGGTTGCTGCTAGATATTCAGAGATGCCGCTTTGTCGTTTACATCAATCTCTACAACACCCTACAACCCTCTAAGATTTATTTTTTATCAAAATATTTTTCTCAAATAAATTCGATCGGCCAAATGAAAATGTTAAACAAGTATATCTCTTGCAAATACGAATTTTCAAACAGCATAACACTTTTTTTAAAAATATTTAACACCGTTCAATCCTATGACAATAATAATCCTAAAGAACAACAACGAACGATGACAAAATTAATTATATTTATATTTCTATAATTTTCTTTTGATACAAACAATTTAAGTGTTTTACAAACGTACCAATCAAATTACTTTCAACTTTTTTTTTATCGATAAGATTTACGAAACTTATTCGAGCAATCACGATTGTACACGTTTAATCGAGATAAGGAATCTTCCAAGTTGAAAATGTAATAAAAAGAGAAACGCACGTTCGTAGTTACCTACCCCAAACAAACGATCGTCCATTAATGAAAGCAAATAGCAAACGTTTTGTCATAGTTATTTCAACGATACGATATATGAGCTATGAAAATCGAATACGTTTGCTATGACAAATGATAAACGGGGCTAACACGGGGTGCACGTGTCGTTGACAATTTGATACCTCGTCGTGTTAGTTCGCTCGTTGCTATTTTAATCGTTTGTTCTCGCGAGATCCTTTCTAAAGGACTCTAAATCTTTCTTCTTCAAAAATCATATATATCTATCTATCTATCTATCTAAATCTCTGTCTGTTAACTTGCGCTTGCTTGTGCTCGCGCGTTTACGTGCATTATACTATCGAAAAGAAGAAAAGTATATGCGCATGACAGGAAATTTTCCCCTTCTCTCGAGCCATCAAAAGAAAAAAAGAAAAAAAAGAAAAAAAGAAAAGAAAAGAAAAAACAATTTTCTGAACAACGTGCCAAGACCGATTTATT